TAATCCTTATAACATTATGTAATATAATATAGTATAAGATGTTAATATAATAATGTAATAATATTATTACCCCCACTTTACAGATGACAAAGCTGAGACCCAGAGCAGGTAAGGACTTGTCCAAGATCACACAGCTAGCACACAACAGAGACAGGACACAATGCCAGGCAGTCTGTCTCCAGAGCCTGTGGCTTCACCCTGCACCATCTGCTTCTTTCAACATTCTGCTACCTTCACGTAATGATTATATGGAAGAAAACATTTTACAAAAAATTATGTTTGATATGATCATATTCATGGTGAAAATGAATATTTATATCTGCATTTTGAAATGAAAGATTTTTATGAAAAGGTAAAGAAAAGAATATACATTAGAGTAGGTACACCAAATTGAAGATAATGATCTGTAAGTGGAATTATGGATGTTTTCTATTTTTCTCCTTTTGCTTGTCTCTGATTGCTTTTTCCTTTTTATTTTTCAGTAATGAACATATACTGTTCTTATAAAAAGAGAAGAGTAATATGTGAATGGGCCTACCTAGCAAGCAAATATACTGTAAAGCTTGTGCTTTTTTTAAGAGTGGACTTTAAAGATAAACTAATTGAATTATAAACAGAGAGCAGGAAAAATACACTTTTAGATTCTCCTTCCTCCATGAGTCCACTGCGTTTCTAGCAGGTGTGTGATCACAGGCTTCTTTTTCATGAGCAAACTAGTATAAATGGCTTTGTTTTTCTTTTACTACTAAATTTTTAAATGATATATATATATTTTTTATTTTTTAACATCTTTATTGGAGTATAATTGCTTTACAATGGTGTGTTAGTTTCTGCTTTAAAACAAAGTGAATCAGCTATACGTATACATATTTCCCCATATCTCCTCCCTTTTGCGTTTCCCCCCCACACTCCCTATCCCACCCCTCTAGGTGGACACAAAGCACCAAGCTGATCTCCCTCTGCTATGAGGCTGCTTCCCACTAGCTATAGCTATCTATTTTACATTTGGTAGTGGATATATGTCCATCCCACTCTCTACTTTGTCCCAGCTTACTCTTCCCTCTCCCCGTGTCCTCAAGTCCATTCTCTACATCTGCGTCTTTATTCCTGCCCCACCCCTAAGTTCTTCAGAACCATTTTTTTTTATTCCATATATATGTGTAAGCATACGGTATTTGTTTTTCTCTTTCTGACTTACTTCGCTCTGTATGACAGACTCAAGGTCCATCCACCTCACTACAAATAACTCAATTTCATTTCTTTTTATGGCTGAGTAATATTCCACTGTAAATGTGTGCCATATCTTCTTTATCCATTCATCTACCGATGGACCCTTAGGTTGCTTCCATGTCCTGGCTATTGTAAATAGAGCTGCAATGAACAGTATGGTACGTGACTCTTTTTGAATTATGGTTTTCTCAGGGTATATGCCCAGTAGTGGGACTGAATGTGTTTGTTGGCAATCTGTATATTTCTTTGGAGAAATGTCTATTTAGGTCTTCAGCCCATTTTTGGATTGGGTTGTTTGTTTTTTTGGTATTGAGCTGCATGAGCTGCTTGTAAACTTTGGAGATTAATCCTTTGTCAGTTGCTTCATTTACAAATATTTTCTCCCATTCTGAGGGCTGTCTTTTCGTCTTGTTTGTGGTTTCCTTTGCCATGCAAAAGCTTTTCAGTTTCACTTGGTCCCATTTTTAAATTTTTGTTCTTATTTCCGTTTCTCTAGGAGGTGGGTCAAAAAGGATCTTGCTGTAATTTATGTCAAGGAGTGTTCTTCCCATGTTTTTCTCTCAGAGTTTTAGAGTGTCCGGTCTTACATTCAGGTCTCTAATCCATTTTGAGTTTATTTTTGTGTATTGTGTTAGGGAGTGTTCTAATTTCATTCTTTTACGTGCAGCTGTCCAGTTTTCCCAGCACCACTTACTGAAGAGGCTGTCTTTTCTCCGTTGTATATTCTTGCCTCTGTTATCAAAAATAAGGTCACCATATGTGCGTGGGTTTCTCTCTGGGCTTTCTGTCCTGTCCTATTAATCTATCTTTCCGTTTTTGTGTCAGTACCATACTGTCTTGATTACTGTAGTTTTGTAGTATAGTCTGAAGGCTGGGAGCCTGATTCCTCCAGCTCCGTTTTTCTTTCTCAAGACTGCTTTGGCTATTGGGGGTCTTTTGTGTTTCCATACAAATTGTGAAATTTTTTGTTCTAGTTCTGTGAAAAATGCCAATGATAGTTTGATAGGGATGGCATTGAATTTGTAGATTGCTTTGGGTAGTACAGTCATTTTCACAATGTTGATTCTTCCAATCCAAGAACATGGTATATCTCTCCATCTGTTGGTATCATCTTTAATTTCTTTCATCAGTGTCTTATAGTTTTCTGCATACAGGTCTTTTGTCTCCTTAAGAGACAAAAGGTAGATTTATTCCTAGGAATTTTATTCTTTTTGTTGCAACGGTAAATGGGAGTGTTTACTTAATTTCTCTTTCAGATTTTTCATCATTACTGTATAGGAATGCCAGAGATTTCTGTGCATTAATTTTGTATCCTGCAGCTTTACCAGATTCATTGATTAGCTCTGGTAGTTTTCTGGTGGCATCTTTAGGATTCTCTATGTATAGTATCATGTCATCTGCAAACAGTGACAGATTTATTACTTCTTTTCTGATTTGGATTCCATTTATTTCTTCTTCTTCTCTGATTGCTGTGGTTAAAACTTTCAAAACTATGTTGAATAATTGTGATGAAAATGGGCAACCTTGTCTTGTCCCTAATCTTAGTGGAAATGGTTTCAATTTTTCACCATTGAGAACGAAGTTGGCTGTGTGCTTGTCGTATATGGCCTTTATTATGTTGAGGTAGCTTCCCTCTGTGCTCACTCTCTGGAGAGTTTTTATCATAAATGGGTGTTGAATTTTGTCAAAAGCTTTTTCTGCATCTATTGAGATGATCGTATGCTTTTTCTCCTTCAATCTGTTAATATGGTGTATCACATTGATTTGCGTATACTAAAGAATTCTTGCATTCCTGGGATAAACACCACTTGATCATGGTGTATGACCCTTTTAATGTGTTGTTGGATTCTGTTTGCTAGTATTTTGTTGAGGATTTTTGCATCTATGTTCATCAGTGCTATTGGCCTGTAGTTTTCCTTTTTTGTGACATCTTTGTCTGGTTTTGGTATCAGGGTGATGGTGGCCTCATAGAATGAGTTTGGGAGTGTTCCTCCCTCTGCTATAGTTTGGAAGAGTTTGAGAAGGACAGGTGTTAGTTCTTCTCTAAATGCTTGATAGAATTTATCTGTGAAGCAATCTGGTCCTGGGCTTTTGTTTGTTGGAAGATTTTTAATCACAGTTTCCATTTCAGTGCTTGTGATTGGTCTGTTTATAATTTCTAATTCTTCCTGGTTCAGTCTTGGAAGGTTTTGCTTTTCTAAGAATTTGTCCATTTCTTCCAGGTTGTCCATTTTATTGGCATATAGTTGCTTGTAGTAATCTCTCATGATCCTTTGTATTTCTGCAGTGTCAGTTGTTACTTCTCCTTTTTCTTTTCTAATTCTATTGATTTGAGTCTTCTCCCTTTTTTTCTTGATGAGTCTGGCTAATGGCTTATCAATTTTCTTTATCTTCTCAAAGAACCAGCTTTTACTTTTATTGATCTTTGCTATCCTTTCCTTCATTTCTTTTTCATTTATTTCTGATCTGATTTTTATGATTTCTTTCCTTCTGCTAACTTTGGGGGTCTTTTGTTCTTCTTTCAAATCAAATGCGTTAGTTATAGGTAGGCTACTCGGTGGTATAATTTAGGAGAAGCTCAAGACTTATTGCTCTGAGCAGGAAAAACTGCCCTGTAAAATTTGGCTATTAGGGTTCAAGTGGTTCTTGAAGTTGTTTTTGATTATCTACAAAGGCATACACAAAGTTGACACACCCAAAAGCAACACTGTAGAGTGGAAAATTACTAGCTTGTAAATCAGAGTAACTGTTTGACTCTTCTTGCCACGTCCTCATGTATAAAATGGGGACAATGATACCGATCTCTACAGATTATTGGGAGGTGGTAATTAATGCACAGGAAATTGCCTGCCACATAATCAACTCATAATAGATGTTAGTTTCTTTCCCTTGAACAATGAACATAAGTGGAATATCTACTGACTTTTCAATGCAGTAGAATTGTTTTTCATTTATTCTGAAAATATTTTTTAACAAGTCAGGGTTTGGGCATGAAAATAGATGCCACTCAATATATTCCAAGTAAGAGTATTTTTAATGCAGGGAATTAGAGGCTTACACAATGGTTGGAAGGAAACAAAGGTCAGGGAGGCTGTCAGTGGAGATCTCAGCCTGTAGCACCACAAAGTTTTCAAGTGCTTTCACCAAACACTCTCTGAATATGAAGAACCTCTGGGAGGTTCCCACCAAACCCTCAGGCTGCAGGACTGATGCACGTGATTCTCAGGAAGCTCACCTGGCAGCTGCTTAGACAAGTTCAAGATGAACAAATCTCCTATTCTGAAGAAGTTTACCATCTGAAACTGTGACCCAAAACATTTCTAACCTTATTTATCAATATTTCCCTCCTCATTGGCTCTTTTGACTCTGTGCCCCAGGATTCTGCACTTCATGCTAGTTTCTCTACATAAAATGCCCAACATGATAAATCAAAATGCTTCTCATGTTTTAAGTCCCAATATAAATTCAACTTTCCCCATGAAGTCTTTGTTCATACAATGCCTACCATCACCCCTCTGAATGTAATGTAATGAGTCCCCGTTCTAATGACCCTGTGGTTCTGTACCATCTCTTGTGATTTTTCTATACACTGGTCAGAGCTGGGATGCAGGTAGAAATAAGGGACTTACTAATAGGAAATAAAGGACTTAGGTGTTTAAGGATGAGTTTGGAACAGAATTCTGTAGAAAGAAATTCAACATGGCTGCTTGCTTTTCATAACCAAGGCCAAACTCTCTAAGGAATTAGCACATGTGTCTTAAATTTCCTACCTGAGACTGTGATTAAAATGGCTCCTTCCTCTTTTGTCAGCAGTATACCATGGGTTCTGGAAAAGAATAAAATTATGCGTGCTTCTTTAACCGCATTCCATAACTCAGACCCTCACTCTGTCAGTCTGGACTAATCTACACCTGGAATCAGTAAATAATGAAATAGTAAATACTCACTACAGCACTCTACTATTGCCAGGCTCTGGTCTGAGCACTTTACTAAACAATGTGTTTAATACAACAACCCTATGAGGTAGGTACTATTATTGTTCCCATTTTACAGAAGAAATTCTGAGGCCCAGAGAGGTTAGATAACTGGCCTAACATCACACTGCTAATACGTGACAGAGCAGGATTCAAAGACAGGCAGTTTGGCTCCAGAGTTAGCTCATCTAATCATATTGCGGGCAAGTTTCAACATGTGAATCTGGGGGGAACATAGAGTCCATAAGAACAGGTGAGTCTGATGCATGACCAGTATTAAGAACCACCATATTTTCTGCAGTGTTTGTAGAGATATAGAAACATTCCTTCTTAATTACACAAATATTACACAAAATTTTAATTAAAAGATTCAAACAATATGGAAGTATATGGAGCAAAACAAATATGGATACATTTCCACTCTATCAATCACTTTGTTAACCTATTTCAGGTGTTTCTAGCACACAGTCTTATATCCACCGATTAAAACAGTTCTGTGAAGTGAGAATCAGATTGGTTAAAAGGCAAGATGGTAATTCTGTCAAGATGGATTGTATATATCCACTGGTGGAACATTTTGTATCTTTGGGCATCCTGTCCCCTCCACATGCTGATATCATTATCTTTCATATTCAGAAGTTCCTGCTGATTGTGTAGGTGCACAGGCAAGGTTGTGGAATCTGCCTTGTGACTCGTAGTAGTTCCCTTCTTGATCTGTTCCTTGCTTAGTCATTCTTGGCAGGGCCTGTTGCTGTTTGCAGCTCTGCCTCTCTGCCTCAAGGGCTGCCTATAAGTCTGGCTTAAAATAACTTACCTTTTCTCTGACTTCAGCAAGAGACAGTGACCAATCTTCCCCAGGGTCTCCAGCCATTGCTGCTGAGGAGCTCATTTTGAATTTTCTGACACTTATGCTCATCACCCCACCCCGAGACTGGAGATACAGAGAATGAGGTACAGGACAGAGAAGGTCACTCACAAGCAGACCCTGACTGTACTGTAGCCTGATTAAGGTAGCTGCCTACCATAACATCCTCCTTACAAGAATTCCCAAGGACTAAGGGGAGAGAATTAAGGCTCCCGCGCCAGCTTAGAGATTGAACCAGTAAGAGTTCAGGAAGAGTCAGTTGGTCATCCTAATTCAGTGACTTTGGTCTATAAATTCATTCATTCTACTCTGAAGAAGGTCATCTGGTACAATGTCATGGAGTTTCTTTAACCAGTGATATCTGGTCAACAAAACAAACCTTGTTAAAAGTTTTTCCAAGAAATAATGAAAAGCCTGAAAAGTGCTATTGTCTACAAAATAAGGTAGAAAAACTGAACAAGGGAGAGTTTCCATGTCCCATCCAGAGTTCCTAGATGTGCGGAAGATCTCCTACGTGCCTCTCGAGATACACTCTCCACTTTCCCTACTGCTCTGTGCCCTGGGACGCTCATCTGTACGGGCACATCACTGCTCGTGGATGGGGACAATCCACAGAGACCACAGGCAGTAGATAAGGAAGGACAGTAAAGTTGAAGTATTTATTCCTTTGGGTCCCTCCCTTTGGGGTCACCAGGGACAAGCTGTACCCATAAACCAAAGGTCACAATGCCACCTGGGTGGCCCTGTCAACACAGCTCTTTTTCTACAAATTTTCTCCAGCTGCTCCCTCTTCTCTCCCTTTCAGTCCTTGATGATAGCAGAGCCCTACTGTCATTGGCACTGCAGTACAGCAGTCTCCCTGGTAATATCTCTACACACTGCTTATGCCTTTGTAAATCATCCCTTAATTAACTCCTCTTCTTAAACTACCCTATTTCAGTGTGACATCTTTCTGCTGGGACCCACAGAAAGCAAATAGAGAACATCTTTGTAATTCTCCAAAATATCACAACAATGCCTGGAAGAAAACCAGCATTTTAGATTATATAAAGTAGGTAGACTGGAAGGATGAGCAACAATATTCTCTCTGTATGACTCCCAGAAAGACACGCTAATGGGGCCTTCACATGCTCTACACTTCTAACCATACCCGAAGAAAACTTCCCCCTTGTGAATACCAGCCCCAACATGATTCAGCTACTTATTTATCCTGAAATGAAATTCTCAGGTTTCAGTAACTGCACTTCAGTCAGACAACCACAGAGGTGTCCAATTTTTAAATGACCTTTTCTCATTTTATTGATGAGTATATTAAAGATAACAAATGTATTCATTTTTTAAAAACAACAAAATGTTGATCCCACCATAACAAAAGCAAAAAAAAAACCCCCAGAATTATCTACAAAATCATAACTTTTCGTGAGAGTTGAGGTAAGGAGGCAACCAAGGGAACTGAATTCCACAGTGAAAAGTCCCTCTGAGAGACAAGGATACACGAACTGATTCATCTTTGGCAAAGCATAGACGGAAAGGGCGCTATAATAGAAGTGAGTAAGAAGAAACCAGAAAAAATTAACAAATCCCTAAAGGCTGAGAGTGGGTTACCGGATCACTTTAGAATAACAGGAAGTGCCAGACATAGGGAAGTTTGCAATCGCATGCTCTCTGCACAAACCTCCACCAGATGCTTATGAGAAAGAGTAAGGGCAGGGCAGGAGATGAGAACAAGCCTCCTCAATGGCACAGGACTGCAGTGGTGACCTGGTGACTCTGACGAACAGGCATAAAACACTGCCTGCTTCTGTGGACCCTCCTCTCATAAAAAATAAAAGCCTTAAGCTGCTGGAGGAAGGACAACAGACATTCTTACCCCTTCCCCCCAGCACCTGGGGGGTGGGTAGGAAATCCTCCTTGCTGCCCCTAAGAACGAGGCACAGACCCATTGCTTCTGTAGGGAGGGTAGAAACAAAAGATATCTTTCCTGGAGGATGTGAAGAAAACAGTCTTGTACCAGTATTCTGCACCAATAAAAAAAGATTGGGCTTCCCTGGTGGCAAAGTGGTTGAGAGTCCGCCTGCCAATGCAGGGGACGTGGGTTCGTGCCCCGGTCTGGGAGGATCCCACATGCCGCGGAGCGGCTGGGCCCGTGAGCCATGGCCGCTGAGCCTGCGCATCCGGAGCCTGTGCTCCGCAATGGGAGAGACCATAGGGGTGAGAGGCCCGTGTACCGCAAGAAAAAAAAAAAAAAAAAGTAAAGATTTAGTCCTGCTGGGGGAGGGGAAGGAATATTTCTCCTGCCCCAAACCCACCACAGATTCAAGGCAGAGTTTGGCTGCCACAGAACGTAAGGGAATGAATACTCAGAAGGACACACTTTTGAAGCCTAGACACTGAGTCTGGACCAGGAAAACCAAGAACTTCTACTACCCCCACTACAAGTCCACCACTGACTAATAAGCAACAGCTGGGAGAGGGGCAAGACCATGGACTGAGGCAGGTGAGCCAGAGTGAATAAAAGCTGAGGGTGGAGAAGAAATACCAAGAAAACTTCTCAGTACCCCAAGCCCCACACAAAGGACAAGGTAATGACAATCCGCTGGTGGAAGATTTTGAAGTCTCTGATTTCACTGAGGGTGACAATAGCAATAATGAAAGCCAAATCTTGCTTAACAATTTATTGACCGGAGACATATTAGTACGCTTTTAGAGAGTGATACAATTAACATCACTGTGGGAAGTTGTCAGAGCTTAAAATTGATCAAGGTTCATTATACAACTTATGATTGTCGTTATCATTCACATTTTGCTCTGTTAGGATTTTGTTCCAAACTTGTGTATATTATAAATGCAATTTTATTACCATAAAGTTTTCATCATTCTGGTGAATGCAGTGACACCTGGTCCGTCTTGTGGAATTTGTAAAAGAACCCACCCACAAAGAGCCACCTTGTCGACTATCAGGTAAAATAAAAGAACCAATTCTAGAGGAAATAATACCCACAGGACTAAAAAAAAATGCTGCCAGAAAGTGTTAGAGTCTGCTCTTCCAGGGGAAATTGCAGTGAAACATGGTATATTTGTAATAGATGTTCTGTTCTCCTGCACATAGGTGCCTGCTATACTGCCTATCACACTCTAACAAAATATTAGAATGCTTTAGTAAGACATGTACAAAGTTTCAAATAAATACATTAAGTGCAAAAAAAGTTGTTGCTATTTACTCAAACGTGGGTGTTTCAATATTCACTTACATAAAAGATCGCTGGCCACAAGTTCTTAGTTTCTGCAAAAATCCCCCAGTCAATAATATGTTAAATACTGACTAGATTGATTCAATATCCCATGCTAATAACCTAACAGAAGAAGAGTGACTATTCCTAGATCTGATGCTATTTAACTCAAGGTCTATTATTATTCAACACACAATGTACACAATACATTAAAAAAAAAAAAGACTCAAAACAGCAAGGAAAAAAATGACACATTGTCAAGAGACAAATCAATTAACAAAACCAGAAACAATGACCTAGATGTTGGACTTCACATAAGGACTTTTCTTTTTCTTAACATCTTTATTGGAGTATAATTGCTTTACAATGGTGTGTTAGTTTCTGCTTTATAACAAAGTGAATCAGTTATACATATACATATGTTCCCATATCTCTTCCCTCTTGCGTCTCCCTCCCTCCCACCCTCCATATACCACCCCTCTAGGTGGTCACAAAGCACCGAGCTGATCTCCCTGTGCTATGCGGCTGCTTCCCACTAGCTATCTATTTTACGTTTGGTAGTGTATATATATGCCCTACTAGAGAATGGACTTGAGGATATGGGGAGGGGGAAGGGTAAGCTGGGACAAAGTAAGAGAGTGGCATGGACATATATACACATAAGGACTTTAAAATAACTATAAATAATTTGTTAAAGTACATGGTGGAAAAGGTGGGCAACATGCACAAACAGATGGAGAATTTCAGAAAGGAAATG